TTTTGTGGGGGGGGGGATTTTCCATATACCCCCATAAGTTGAGATATATAGACAGGTGGGGCTTTCCTTCCTTACTTTTTTTTTTTTTTTTTTTTTTTACCGCCTTCGTGCTATCATTCACAGTGTGACAATATATGTCAAAATGTCCCTAAAAGATATGGCCATAGTGGAATGGCCTTTTGGACTAACATGTTTGTGTTATGCCCTTGTCAGGTAGGTGTGCAAATTCGCTTGGCCTTTTGCAATTACACCTATGAAAACTTGGCAACTGCCGGGCCATTTTGCAAAGTTGGGCAGCATCCGGTATGGGTACCGCCTGTTTTTTTTTATGTAAGCTATATTTTTCTCTCATCTATCTCATCGTCTTGCTAGTACTCACCTATCTCATCCTCTCGCTAATCTACGTATAGTATGGGGGAACACCAACCAGCCTGGCACCTTATAGACAACACGAATGTCATAACTAGATTCGCTGGGCGTGGTCCACGGAGGGCCCAGTTGAAAAACGGCAAAACAGTTCACCCGCGGATGACCATTTTGTGTTATTTTCGCAGTTTCGCACTATTGGCCGCCAGAAGTTGCTGGTTTTTCTTTTTTCTTTTTTGTTTTTTTTACAAAAAGTTCCATCTATTGGTGGGGAGCATCACCTGCTGGAAAACGGGCCCAGCGTCCCTTGGATACATGTATACATGAATGCATGAGTACAAGATGAGATGAAATACCATTGATGTCTGTGGGGTCTGTACAGATGTGTGCGCTGCCTAGAATTGCCTCTTCACCCCATAGAGGGCGCCTAATCTGAAATTCTGCACTAACTTATTACCAACAACCCACTTTTCCTCCTCAAAACGGAAATCATACCTCCCCTGACCCATACCTATGTACGCCAACAAGTGTCATCACAGAAGGAGGGAGAGGGACTGTGAAAGAATTGGGGATCTGAGGGAAGCCTGCTTGGAGACTGTGTAGCGTGTCTTTCCCTTTCAACCGACCCATTAGCTTTTCTCCTTGTCCTCTAGACAGAACCGTACCAACTCAATGGTACAAGACTCAAGGAAGATGGCGGGAGTAATTCAGGAAAATTCGAGAGTGGTCGTAGAGGAATATCGGGATCCAAGTTTGTCCAGTCAGTGAAACAAATTTTGTAATCTATGCATATCTGAACCTGACTCTCATTTTGATTTTCATCCCCTGCCCCATTCCACTTAATTACTCTCATTTTTTCCCCCATGGGTCCCCCGAGCCAGTCGCCAGAAAATTGTTGGATGTGTTGTTTGATTTCTTTTTTGGTGGACATGAATTTTATTTTTTCCTTTGACATTTTCTCATTCTGATGTAATGTCAATCTGCACTTGTTGTTTGATTGAGTCTGTGAATTCCGGCCCGTCAAGTCTGGCCCCTTCCAACTCATAAGTACAACGTTTACACCATAATGCCCAAATGATTGCTCTCCTACCTGTTTTATACATATTGAGAGTAAAGGTGTCTGTCAAGGAGGGATCCCAGGTTTCACATAGCAGAGCTTTCCAATTCCAAGGTCATGCTTCAGTGGTCCCTAGATGATTTCATATTCTATCCCACCATCTCCATAGCCAGATTGCCCCTGGGCATCTCAAGAAGATATGTTCGATGGTTTCTTGAATATTTCGAGATGGAAATGTCGAGGCACAAAATTTACACGATGGTAAGGCCAAACCCTTTTGTTCCAAGGAGGTCCTATCAATGAGCTAGTCATTTGTTGGTAGGCAGCGATGGTCGGTCTGCCATTGCAGTGGCGCCACTTTGGCTGACTTAGATTTAATAGTTTTAAACCATTTTATGTGGTGTAAATTTTATTTGGCTATGTTCAATTGTTTCATCCATCAAGCTGCGATTCTATCCCTCAAATTCAGTTTAGGTATGAGCTTCTGATAGGTGGATTTGACTGTCAAAATATGTAACGTTTGGACACACAATCTGTTTTTCCCAATTGGGTTGGACCAGACCCAACTGATAGGGGAGGTTGGCTGAAAAACTAACCATTGATCTTTAAGTTGCAGTACTCTGATTCAGAAGATTTGATCCACTTGATACCATTTAGTTTGCTGCAGTTGGAGGCTCCTTATAATGTTACTATTTCCAAGCGAGTAGAGAGACACAAGAATATTTCGGTCATCTCTTACCATTATCACATTTTCTGCCTATCGTGTGTTGTTGTTAAGACCTACTCAGTCACTCTTTTGTATATTGGGCCCTTTCCTCAGTAGCCTGACCCAATCTTGTGGAATCGGTTCTATTAATGTTTCTAATCCATTTGTAGAATCTCTACAATACCTTAGTCTAGATTAAAGTGTTGAGGATGAGTGTCAATCCTTGGTTTCTTTACACCAAATATCTTCAATCCTGAGTATGTCATTTTTCACCCACCCTTTCCATGGAGAATCCGTACATTGTTGAGTTCTTCCCTAGAGTCTGTAATCCATCTATTGTTGAATAGTGGTTATTGACAAACCTCCTCCCATCTTTTGGGGGAAATCTTATCTGGGAGGGGAATTTTTCTCCAGGTTTTTAGGAGGTCTAGCCAAAATGGATCATTTTTTATATCTGATCTCATTGCCTGCCTATGGGGGTCCTTCTTTTGCTTCAAGTTTTGTGTCTTGCCCTTTGGAAGAGACCATGAGCAGTTTTCCAACCAAATCATTGGGTTTATTCCATTGAGGGTTACCGGTGCTAAGCAAGAAATTTGCTCACAAGCGAGAGGGATCCATGAAATTAGAGGATTAAAAAACAGTCTTTTAATCCATTGTATCAATAGTGAAACGGTATTCACCAGTTCGCAGTAGCAAATGCAGATCCCAAGGCTCGATCCCTAGTTCCCCATCTTACCTGCGTACAGTATTGATGACAACCCGTAGATTTGAACCTGCGACCTGTCGAAACGCCAGTGGTAGGTAGATTGTCGTAGGTCACAGCTTAGAAGGGAATCGAACTGTAGACCTGTAGGGTAGGAGTCTAGACAGTTCCGAAGTCGTAGTTGTAGGATGTCTGAAGGGTCAAGGTCGTAGCTGCTACTTACCTGAAAGGGCAAAGTYGTAGGTGCTACAGTACCGAAAGGCCAAAGTAGAAGTTTCTAGAACTGGCCTTTCGGAGTCAGCCCCTGTTTAGGCCAAGGCAAGTGGGCAAGTGGTGTAGGTCCACTACGTAGAGTCAGCAGTCCAAGGTAGCTCAGTCCGGTCCAGTCAAGCAAGTACCGTCTGGGACTGTGCACATCGTGGGCCAAGGGATACAGGGCAGACCAACGCCGCACAAAATATAAATCAAGAGGCTGCGTCCAGCCAGTCATTCATTCCTGCGGATGCCATGCGGAAGCGCTGCCTCAGCAGCTTGTGTAAGGAGGTCTGCAGTGCGCCCGAAGACGAAGAGGGCAGTGACGTGTAGTGTAGCGATAGGATAGTGGCAGCCATAGCTGCCATAGCTATAGTAGCGTGTGTGTGTGTGTGTGTTGCGTATAGAGTGTTGCGTGTGGGACATCCAGGGTGATCCAGAGTGCGAACAGTGAGTTGTGTGGGCGCTCAGTCGCCATAGCCAGTTTGAAGGGAACTCCTACCTGGTTACGATATCTTTGAGTACTGTGTGGGCGCATGTCGCCAGTTTGCTGTTTCGCTGTTTGCATGCATGACAAGTGTGAAGAAGTCGAGTCTGATTGCACTGGTATCGGAGCAGGTACCCGCTGTCCCATGCGCGCGATGTGTGCAGGGCCGATCGGCCATAGCTGAAGTGTCGCCGGAGGAGGCAGTCCGCCATAGCGGACCTCAAGGTGGAAGAAGACGCCGCGCACCTGCAACAAGAAGAC